TTAATAAAACAGAAAAGGAAGAGGAAAAATAATAAAAGAATATATAAAACAGGTGATGCGCAATGCAATTGATGCCCAGCCAGTCCCCGAGCAGCGACTGCCATCCCCCAGCCTACTCCCCTCAGTTTATATGTTGAACATGACATCCTATAGTATGGAACATCCGTTTGCCCACTCTGCGTCAGCCGTCCTGGCTGTGGCCCTTCCCAGCTTCTTGTTTACCCTCAGCCTCCTCATTGGCAGAGCAGTATGAGAAGCTGGAAAGTCCTTGACATCGTGTAAAGCACTGCTTAGCAACAACAAAGACATCAGTGTATTATCAACATGATTCTTATCCCAAATCCAAAGCACAGCACTCTACCAGCTACTAGGAAGAAAATTAACTCTATCCCAGCTGAAACCAGGACAGAACAGTACTATAGAAGAGCTCGTTTTTCTCCAAACATTGCGAAGTGAGGCATAGGCATCAGATAAAAACACTGTAGATAGCCAACACAGGATAAGTTGAAGTCCACCTTTTCAATTTTGTCTAATTAATTACATTCTAGAAATAGCAGCCATATCTTTAAACTGTTATCATTACAAATCTATTGGGAGGTGCTCCTTTATGTCATACCCTTTCATTCAATATTGTTAATGTAAAAATACGCAATACAATGTAGTGAGGTTTGTTATGGTTACTAAAGCTAAAGATGTACACATTTACCCCCTGCCTTTTTTGAGGCAACTTTAGCCTGATGGTTTTGTTCCTCCATGCATAGGCATGATTTGTCATTCCTGCACCAGTACAGTCCATAGTGTGACCATGATTATAGCAGTATAGAGGTATCACACTCTATTGTAAGTGGTTCCCCTTAGTGCAGAAATAAATACTATGAACACACCACATGTATTCCAATCAAATTATGCCCATGCTACATTTTCTGTTCTGGTAAAGATGTATGACTTCTATGTATAGACAAAGCAAATCTGAAGCAAAAATAACTAATCAAAAAACATTGTCTGCTTGGAAGGATACTTGTAAAATTTAGCAAAATAAGCAAGATTATTAGGAAAAAAATAACATGTTGCATGAGGTGTGGGAAAAGAAGGCCTGGTTTCATGCAGATCTGCATTATTGGTGATTAGTTCATGACTTCTCTGATAGATAACAAGGGCTGAGCTCACACAATGGCCTTTCTTTTAATTGGGACATTTTTTTCTTTTGTTTGACCCCCTGTTTTCATGGAGCTTGCAAGAATATAGAGCCTCTGGGATCGCATACCTCTATCAGATTTCACTGAAATCAACCACTGACCTTGAATGTTGTCTGGTAACAGCAGATGAATACACAGGCAGACCCTCACTGCATCACTGAATGACCTTAACTCCCACCAAAAAATCTGAAGCAAGAAGAAAAAAGACAGGTTTTATTCAATACAGTAGGCAGATGGAAGCAGCAGATTTTTATACTCACTTAAATGTATGTTTGTCCAATATTCCACTTTTCTGTTCCTCCTTCTGTTTCCAAGTCCAGTACATCAGTGAAATGGAGCACCATAACCTGGGGTAGAAAAAAACCTTAAAGGTAGAGATGCAAAAATGCCCTTAGCACAGCTGAGTCTCCAGAAAGGCCCTGTGGCTTTCAGCAATCTGCAGCAGAGCCAAGGAAGGGGTGACCAACACTGAGCAGTGAGATGTAATGCTGATGCACAGTTTTCTTGGCAAGCCTAAGGACGTCATGTAGAGCAGCAGAGGAGAGGAGTCTAGAGGTGGCTGAGGAGCAGTGAAGCAAGACAGCAATGAAAGGTTTGTTGCTTTGCCTGTGCAAGAAGGGAGCCCAAGCCTTCCTCCCACACCAACTCTTTGTACACTCCTAGGCAATAAACTTCAGGCACCTATACAAGGAGTCCCTTTGCCTGGAAGATCACACAGCGAGCTTCCCTCTCCCCCCAGGATCAATTGCCTTGTAGTGCAAAGGAATGGGGTACAAAGCCTTGCTGGGAAGAGAAAGAAACCTTTGAATGAGAGAATCCCCAGCAAAGGATGATCACACAATGAGTTCTGTGCCATGTGCTTTGCACATCTGATAGGTGCATGTCTTCCAAACTCTTCTTGTTCCCAGACAGTATCTTGTCTCACAATGACAATGATCAACCAGCAAACATTGGAGCCAAATAAATCAGCTGAAATGCGGCATTTCCCTCACAGCATCCCCTTCAGTCTTGTGTGATGCAGAAGCAAACCAGACACAAGAATGAGGACCATCTGTTTCCAAGGTGTAGAATGGACAACACCTTCCATGTGGGAGCTGCAAGATGATATCGTTTTGCGTTTGCCATCTGGGACTGTTTCAATTGCAAACCAGTTAGAAGTATTTAGGTTGTTTAAAAAAAAATATGTTACAAATTTAGCCTGACAATCACAGAATCACAGAATCATTAAGGTTGTAAAAGACCTCTAAGATCATCAAGTCCAACCATCAACCCAACACCACCATGTCCACTAAACCATATCCTAAAGTGCCACATCTACATGTTTTTTGAACACTTATCTCTTTAGAGTATAGAAGTATCCCTACATACCCCATGCCAGTAAACCCTCACAAAACCTCTCAGTGGGGAGTTAAACTGACATGGAGCGTATCTCCATGAAACATTTAAAGTTAGCTATTTAATAGACCAGATCCTCCACTAGCTAAAACTCAGGGTAAACCTAGTGAGACTGAAGGAGCAGGGATTGCTGACAACAATTGCAGGTATGTTCATATGCCTCCTTCAAGGCATGCCCATTTTTTCTCACCTTACAGCAGTAAGTATTTCCAGGATTCCCATGTACCAAATAATTTTATTTCAGTGTGGCAGAAAAAATATCAAAGGATAAACTGGATAAGTTTTGACCTAGGCATTGACCTAGGCATGCTGGAGATTAACTCCTGTTTTGTATGTTTTATGTTTCTTGTGTTTACTTCTCTCATGTAATTTTTGCAATCATTATTTGTTGAACTTTTTTTCTGTTTGGTATCTTGTATGATGTGTTGCCTCCTTAGCTACACATATAAATAAAAATAAAAGTTGAGAGGAATAATATAAATAAAGTTGTTATTATTTTATGAGTGAGTCAGTTATATGAAATACAAGGGCATGGAGGCATCAGCTATGTATAAGTCAGTAAGGCAAATACAATCTTGGGCTTCATTACACTAAGAAGAAAAAAAGTATTAGTCATCTTCCTCCTACCAGAAACAAAAAGACGTATCATATAAAAACTAAATTCATTTCACTATTAAGTTTCCTAATTTTTTGATAAGCAGAAGGTCCTTTTTTTGTAAAACCAGACTTCTAACTCTTTTGATTACCTTTCTCAATCCCATTTTTGGAAAAAAACTTCCTCACAAAGGCCATAGCTTACAAAAAACGTGAAATAGGAAAGATAGAAGGAAACACGATTGATTCAAATTCCAGCTTTTGCAGGCTGCTCTTCCTCCCAAAGCCATGGTCTTTTTTTTTAACCCTCTTACTGTTTTCTTTAAATATGAGTGACCCAGAAGAGGTATCCAATCCAAGTGTGCACAGGGACCTGTGCCTCACTCTATGAATTTGCAAACTTCAGAATTTTGAAGCCTCTCTGGGAAAGAGAAACACACAGTCCATTTACTACAAGTACAGTCCATTTACGACAAGTTTTGGTCTCTTCTTTCAATTCAAATCAGTTTTAAAACAGCTTTCTTAATTTTTTAAGCTGTCTCTGAATTTGTCATATCTTACCTCAGTTACCAAGCTTTGCTCCTTGCCTGTATTCTCTGAAAGCAGAAAGACCAACAACCCTTGTTCATTCCCTGTTTGCCCCTTCCCACCTTCTAACACCAAGGCAGTCAGACCATACGCTCCGCTACTGTGCTAATGCCAAGGGAGCTCTGTTTTCAAAAGAAAATCAGGACACCAGATGTGGAAATGTCTCCTGGAACCCATCTTTAATAAGTTAACTGGGGACTGAGAAGTGAACTGAAGGAAGCTGGAGCTGAACATTACCCATGCTGAAGTTGTGGAGTTAAAATAGTCCCCCAGGCAAATGAAAGCAAATAAATTGTATTATTTCTTGCATTTCATTTTCCAGAAAACATTTTTGTTGTGACTGAAACACAACTAGAGACTTCCTTCTCAGCTGCTGAAGGGCTTACTGAAGTGGCCCTTACAAATGCATAACTTTGCAGAACCAGGAAGAGAATCTGAATCCCCATGTCACACAGAGTCTCCAGTAAAATTTACACTGCTGGTAATGCAACCCAACACCCCCTCCCCAGCCTCCCCCGGGAGCATGACAAAGCCCAATAACTCATGTGGTGTAATACAATATGTCACGTTACTTGACAAATCCACCAGAAGGACTGACCCTTGCGTAGCACTTTGATAAATCATTAATGAACAGATTTTCTTTCACCTTTGCATGTGGATTAAAGAGAGGGGAGGAAAGGGGAAAATGTGGATGTCATACCAGGAACAACACAAATGAAAATGCTGTTGCATGGGGAGCTAAAATTCCCCAGCCTGTTTTCCCAATTTATCCAGGAGCTATACATGCGTTTGAGAAGGTGTGTCTGTTTGCTGCCTTTTCCACCTGATACACCAACAGAAATGCCTGCATCCTGCCCACTCTCCATCAAGCATTTGACTGAAGAAATAGTACCCTTTCACCTACAGGCATCCAAACCTAATTTCCAGAGTGTAAAGTCATTTCCTGTGCATTATGGGGATGACAGAGCAATCCCTGTTTCCTGAAAATGTTGATCAATACGTAGCATATTAAAGGGAGTTATTTCTTGTACAAGGCTAAAGATTGGCTAAAGTAATGTATGGGATTCAGCTTTAATCATGTGACAAAGACAAAATACTGACCAGAAGATGGCTATGGCTAACTTCAGCAATGAAGGGAGGCCCCATTTCACAAGGAGACAAGGAGGGGCTGATGCAGAACCTTTGTCTACAGCACTGTGTTATGCAGGTTTTATTTGGGTGAACGTCATGGTAGATATGTTCATGGATTCACCTGGGAAAAGCTGCCTGGGAGATCGGCAGAGGCTGCAGAACCTGTATGCTGTTCCCACAGTTCCTCCTCTACCAGAAGTACACAAAATTGCCCAAATAAAGACCAAGCTTACCTCCAAAGTTCCCAAGTCCATGAGAAGAAACTTTGGACCAGGTCTGTAACACACTTATCTTGGAAGGAAGAGCAGCTGCTGAGAGCTCCCTGTCTCAACACACATCTATAAAGAGGAAGCAGTGCTTGTTCTCTCCCACAGACAGGCCTGAGGAACCATCCTCACATCTGAATTAGGTCCATCATTATTCTCCTTACTACAGTTTGCACCCTCATGGGGTGCAAGGTAATGCATGGTAATGCATTGGATTTGGCTCCTCAATATTTCACTTTGAACACCACCCTTGTGATTTTGTGCAAATGATTGCTTACTTGCTCTGCAGAGAATCTGCTATGGTTATTTCTGAGAAATGCACCTTTCAACATGTGGCTTAAGAAACAAAAAAGCTGAGAAGGGGCATGACAGATGCCTCTATTCAGCTGTCAAGAGTTATTCCGAAGTTGACTGTATTTGGGCCTGAACTGTTTCCTGAATAAGATACATAGTGAAAAATAAACAGAAAGAAAAGAAAGTGACCCCACTGGGGAAATGGAGTGGTAAGACTCTCTATAAGATGAAAGAAGAGATTTCAGGAGCATTTTTCTCCATAGCTACAACTGATGAGTGACAATAGAAAACAAAACAATGAGAAAGCAGCCTTCTTTTTGATAGTGGCAAGTTCTGATGCACTGTGTGGGTTTTAATGCTGTTCATGAAGACAGCTGGTGGAAGCTGGCTCTGGAATTCCTCAAGTTTTGTATCTCTCAAAATAACCTCCTAAACACACTGGTTTTAACCTTGCAACCCAAATCGAAAACTGCAAAAGAACTGACCGAATACTGAGGAAAAAATTTTGTAATGAAAAGTCAAGAATTAACAACAAAGAGTTTGCCAAACAAGAGAAAAATTGGAAGTTCAGACTGAATTTATCAAGGAGGAATAGCAGTTCAATAAAACTACCAGGATCCAAGACCTGAAAGTAGGAAGATGAGAAAAAATCTCAAAGTCACAGACAAGCGAGAACATTATCCTGGTGTGCACAGATGGCAGAACAGAGGACAAGAGCTAGTTCAGACAACGAGGATGCTCTCAGTCTGAGAGAGAAGGAAGAATGGGGAAGAAAGTGCAGGAGAGCTGTGAGTGCCTTCATGACTCACGACAACAGGAAAGTACATGATTGCATTAAAAAGTACATCTTTTTTTACAGCTAAAAGGGTAGCTCATTCATTCCTCTCAGAACTGTAGTGCACGATAAGGGATGATCAGAGTGGATTCATTCAGTTCCAGGGCAAAAAATCTCCTGAATCTAGTTCAACAAGCAGCAGACCTAACAAAGCCTGGTTTCCTAAAGGGTTCTGTCTCCGTGGTCCACTGAAATTTTAGTAAAGTCACACTAAATGGAATTTTAAATGAACTACAGAAACTGCAGAACTACCACGAATGTTACGAATGCACCAGCTTTCATTCAGTATATACATCTTAGTAGACATCACAAAATATACCCATCAAGTCAGAGGTTTTTTAAGGTGTGGGGCAACGAAGCCTTCTTTCCAACGTATAAACATTTTGATGTTAAGCTCTCATGTTGATTTCCTTGCACTAAGAGGCAAATTAATACTGAAGCTTCTCCTGCAGTGGAAGGTCTTTAACAGAAATACCCTAATAAAGTTTCTTTCTTTTACTTGGCTAACTAATTTCTCTAGCCTTACAGAAACTTAGAGAAACTTGCGACACCCAGCGACACCCATCTGCCAAACTTGGCTGAAATTGACCAAAGGTCCAGAAAATGTTCTGGGGAACAGACAGATGTCTACACCAGGGAACACATTATTATTGCATAACACATATTTCATAAATAAGCGCTCATTATTTAAAAAGGGGATTTTTTCTACTAATTGCTGATGGTAAAATTTGGAGTGATTTGACTGACCAAGAATATTTCTCTTTTCTGGATGCATTCACAAGGCTTTGGCCAGTGACCTTAGTAAAGCAGAGCACATGTCTGTGCATACTCACTGCTGCTTTTGGAAAGTACTGTTTCTGCAGACACAGGCTGGTTTGTGTTCAGCAAGGCCAGAAAACAGAATCAATTTTTGAATGTTCACAGAGTCAAACATTTGCATAGCTGGCATATTACTCCAGACGGGGCAAAAAAAAAAAGTGAAAGCACTTGGAGGAGAAAAAACTGCAGGACAAGAATGGGGTGTGTATAATTTTTTAAAGATCTCCACAACTTCTGGACTCCCACCTTCTAGTTCTGAGTAAGCATTTCCTTACTGCTTAATTCCAGAGCCAATAAATATGGTCTCAGTTCTCTATGATTTCCATTTGCTGCTTTCACTATAAATGTACATTGGCCCTAATTTCTTTAACAAGGTCCTATCCTGACTCTTCCTGATATTTACTTCTTGCAAAATAGAAACTCTTTATGTCTGCAATATTAATAGTTCAGTTTACAAGGGAATGTCTCGGGGATCTGTTTATCACCCACAGCTGATAACAAGTGCAAGGTATGCTCATGTAACTTAATGTGCCACCACCCGCTCTGGACATTTTGTCCAGGATAAATCAGATAGATAATACATCTTCTGCCAATGTAATGGGTAATGACTGCTTTTCAACACACTATTAAGAAGTTTGGGATCCATGCAGACCCATGGTATACCTGAAGGATTTCTCACCACTACCAGACTATAAATTTACCAGTGTGACCATGCCAACTGTGGAAATTTTCCTCTTCTTTACAGATTTGCCAGTACATACCTCTGTGCCTTTGCTTGTACGTATATGTGTATATATTTATATGTTTCTATTAGATATGACACGGTATGATGTGATATGATTAACATAATCTCAAGGGTGCCTGTTCCTAATGTCACCAGCCTGTCTCCTTGCCATATGTCCTCACATCCTGGTACAATTCTGGGCAGGGCCCATCATTATGGTACTTGTCCCTCAGGTCTTACATTGATGTCCTGAGTTTGAATCCAGTTTCTGTTGTGTTGCTGCCCAGAATGGGTGGTACTATCATCCAGAAGGGGCAATGTGGGCTATCTCATTAGCTTTCAACTGCATTTGCCCACCGTCTCTGAATGCTTTTATTGTACATTGCCCCACCTATCCACGTACTGCCAGTACAATTTATGTCTTATCAACCTCCTGGGCTGCATTGGGCAGAGTGTTGCCAGCTGGTTGAGAGGGATAAGGATCCTTCCCCTCTACTCAGCACTGGTAAGGCACATCCAAGGTGCTGTGTGCAGTTCTGGGTTTCTTGGTACAAGGGAGATACGGAGCTATTGGAACAAGTCCAGCAAACAGGCACAGAGATGATTAAGGGACTGAAGCATCTGTCATGTGAGGAGAGGCTGAAAGAGCTGGGATTGGTTAACCTGGAGAAAAGAATGTTCATGAGGTGCCTTAGCCTTGTGTAGCCTTCTGATGGTTTATTTTCTTGCTGGTTTTCATGTTTCAGGAAGTTTCTGAACTGCTTATTGTAAGGTACGTCTGAGATATACCAGAGGAATAATATATCTTACACATACCCTGTTCTCACAATATTCTGTAAGCATCTGCTGCTATTCACCTGGTTATTCACACTTCTTAGGTTCTTATATTTTCAGTAGAATATTCGTTGGACCATAACATCCACATTCTTGGTGTAGGTCTCCGTTCCACCTCCGGAGATCCTACAGATGTTCCCTTGGTCTGCACTTCTGCCAGTAATGGCAAGTGGCTGTTTTGATCCCGCACCTGCCTGATCTACCTAGATTGTAGTTTGTATCTGACATCATGCTCTCCCAACGCTGCAAATGCTTTTCTAGGCACTTGCTTCCTTCAAGGCCTGCTGGCACTATCAGCTTTTCCACCTTCAGGCTCTCACATAAATTATTCTGAAGACTGTTGTAAAATTATGTACGGTTCAGCCATTTTACTGAGGCATGATTGATGTATGAACACAGAATATTTAAAGATTATTGCGTATTTGTATATATCATTGTAAATATTGTTACAACTGCTACTTGTCTGCTGACAACCACTTTTCTGATCAGCTGAGTCAGCTAGGGGAGCTTTTGTGCAAGAAATGACAATTCCAGTGTCAGATGTTTGTAGATCCTATTCCACCTAATCATTGCTTGGGCAGCGTGACATTTAAGTGAATACACATGGTTCAGGAGACCTGAAAATACCAAACGGACCACAGGTAAAAAAAGAAGGCTCTGACTTAGACAAAGGACATGACCTAATCTACATTTAATCTAAGAATGGACACAGGACTTTGATTGAAATAGGGAGGTCCTGGGAGGTGAATTTTGGTCCAACAGTCTTTGCCTAAGAGAGGGCATGTTGTTTAGTAGCTTCTAAAATAGTTGTGAAAGGTTGCTATCAGAAGAAACACTCTCTAAACTGGGTCTTAGCTCATGAAGTGAAACTGTAGCCATCCTAGCAAAAGCCAGCTCAATAACAAGAAGGTTTTAAACGGATGGGATTCAACCTTAAAAAAAAAAAAAAAAAAAAAAAAAAGCACAGTGCTTTCTGGTTTGCCTGCATGTTGTTAATCAGGGTGGAGGTAGGCTTATCCCAAGCCCCAGTGCTCTGCCAGTAGCTTCCAGAACTGCCTGGAGCTCCTGCTGCCACCACAAAACCCTGCTGGCTACCAAGGGGCAAAACCTCACTGCTATCTACATCAGTGCTATCAGAAGTTTTTCTTGTTTAAACTCAAACAGAAGAGAGGGGCTCATCTCCTTCCTACACAGGTGCTTTGTTAAGGGCTGTGCTTGTTAGTAAAAGTTCAATGCTGATCCTAAGATTAGACATGCAAAGGGCAGCAACGAAAGGAGAACCAAACTACGAAGTGAACTATGTCACATTTTGTCCATAGAGGTTTCCTTGGAAAAGGAAATGTAAGTCCTAACAGTATGTCTCACAATATGTATCAAATTTTCCATCGCTTTGTGATAGTGATGTGTGACAACAGTTTCTCAGAGGGAAGAGTTTGGCCACATTGTTGGAATAATGAATATATTTTATGATCTACAGTTACTGGATTACATAAAAAAAGAAAAACTTGCTTCTAGTTCTGGATTTGGGATTTTTTTTCAAATCTGGCATAAATCACTGACACTTTTGACCAGAGAATTTATAAACTAGCACGTGCATCTGTGATCTTAAAATTCAAGGTTTTGCATTATTTTTTTTTCTTTTTCTTTTTTAATTTCTAAAGATGGCAAAAATACAAAAGCCCTAAGGACCCTCAAATGGAAAATGAACCTTCTGATACCGTATCTTTAGAAAACTGATCCTTACAAGCAGATGGGCCCCACCTCACAGTAAATTGAACAAATAAAGAATAATTTATCTTTAGGTGTGATAAGCATCATACAAAAGTTTGCCAAGGGCTGTATAATTCCATAAAGCTGCCCAACAAGAAGACAGAAGTGATTACAAATGCAAGGTCTTACAACACCACCCTGAGTACTCAGCTCTTAATCAGGTTATCAGACAGCAGGGCTTTTCTTAATCGATACAGCCTTTTATCAAATGAGTGTGTTATCTCATTGGTGAGGTCATAAAATATGAGTCACACAGATTCAATAGGATATCTAGCACAAAGGCAATGTTATACATTATAGAGGCTAAAGATATTGTAGGTATTGTAGGTGTTGTTTACTTAAAGGCAACTGGTGAGTGTTGTGGCCCTCTTCGACCTTCAGAAAAAGCTGTTTAACCTTGTTTTAAGCTATATCTACTGCTCAGAGTAATTCTGTAATCATGATTTGATAGTGTTGCCTTGGCAATGCTGTGTGACATCTTGAACCCAGGGCCTAATTTCTCATAAACTACTGTAGTTCCACTGATTTTCAATTGTCACATACCTGATATTTTGATTTAGCTAAGCTGAATGCGTTCTCTGACCACAGAGTTTTGTGAGGTTAAACTGGCAAACAAGTCACTCGTATTAGGTACAGAAATTTTACCTAATTTATCTTCTAAAAGTTTTATCTTTAATTTTATCTTCAGATTAAAAAAATTCTCTTCAGAATGGCTGCCAGTCAGCACTGGCCTTCTTATCTTGGAGATCTGGCTGTGAAGACTCCTGAAACCAGATATGGTTTCATATCTGAATTCTTGTATGACCTTTGGCAAGCCTTTGGCTTTGATTTTCTACAATTCTTAAGTACCTAACTCTTTACTGGTTTAGTGTTTAGTGTTTTCTTAGCTTCCTTTTTTTTGTGTCTATAAATTAAAAGAGAATGAGCCCATAAACAAAACCAAAACATTCAGCTAACACTTAGGAGAATCCTAGCAAAGCCCACTCATAAAAAAATACTTCTGTATTAGTGCTATCATCTAGCTTCTAATGCTTTAAGTCAATAAAAACAATGCACTGTGTTACAAGAGTCAATCACAAGATCAACATGCAAATAATTTTCTTTTGGAAATTATTTTTTAAACCAGGCAAAAAAATCTTTAAGTTGATTAAAACATCTTTTGTACATATTAGAAACGTTTTGTTTCACTTTCAAGACCTTAATAATGCTTTTAAACATAGAATTTTGCAAACATAAAAGGCAGAAAGAAAGAGGATTTTTCTAATCATAGAATATCTCAAGTTGGAAGGGAGCCATAAGGATCATCAAGTCCAATTTATGGGTGTCTAATTCACCGGTGGTAGTAGTTAGACACCCATCTTTCAGGAATTAATTTCAGCCTGACAAATACACAGGTTGAAGCGCCCAACTTGTTGTTACAGTGTGCTAGGTTTCATTGTACAACATCCCTAGCACATATAGCACACAGCAACTCGGCTTCACTGTTTCATTATAAACACCATCAGGTGTTGGTTTACCAGGCACACTGAGGCTATGACTTCTCCCACCTTTCTTCACACTTAGTGACTTAATGCAATAGTCTGGTCAGCCACATCAGGTCTAATGTTTTGTTTTATGCCAGAAATTGATAAATAACTTTGGTCTGTTAAAAGGAGCAACAGCAGCAGGGAAATGTTTCCAAGCAGAAGTGCAACAAGAAACACCAGAAGAACAGAAGGTATCAGCTGACACAGGAAATTAATAAGCCTTAAAGATTAAAACAGTTATGTTCCTTATAAAATTGCAAGGGAAAAAACCTCCCAGTGTACCCTACAAAATGTAAGGTTCACCAAACTTGGAGCTTCAGCTTCAAGTAAGGTGAAAAACTGCAAAGGACCATCCCACACACTACCAAAGCCAACAGGCTGCAAACAAAACATTCACAGTTAACATGGGTGCCTCAGATCCCTAACTGTGTAATCAGAGAATCTGAATTTCTGGAGAATCAGAAACCCTAAGCAAAGAGCTTCTCCCTGCCACTGACTTTGAACAGCTTAAGGTTATACTGAACAAATTTCTTACCCCCTAGACAGAAATAAATCCCAACTATCACCTTACTGCCATTAGAACCATTCTGTGCATACTGCCCTCAACAGATCATGTAGTAGAACACTGCTTAAGTCAATGTTGACATTACTGATGAATAGATTGCGTGCCATAAAAAAAAAAAAATCATTCAGCTAAGAAGCCAAAAGTTTAATTTGAATGTTGTTTCCTAAATTTGAAAGCTCCACTGTCCTTTCAAAGGCACTCCAGCAAAGCTGGAAATCGATACCCTGTTTCATGACATATGCATATGGAGAGGAGTTCATTGTATCACTGGGTAACTGTCTCATGCTAAAGACCAGTGTAGTAATAAATTTTGAAGATTAGTTCATTTAGTTGGTGTATTTGAGATAATAAATAAAGAGTTTATTAATTATTATTAATATTGTCCAAATGAGAATTGGATAATCTCAGGTTACACAGGTTTATCCTGATAATGAAGTACGGGTACTGAATGGCTTAGAGAATTAATACTGAAATGTAGTCTTATTTCTACCAACACTGAGGCAACTCTGAGACTCAGCTCCATTGACTGCTACGTGGCACAGTTCAACCTATGCTGTAGTTTAGCAGCTTCCTATTAAGACAACTACCGTCAAACCACAACACTGCTAACAGCCTTCCCGAAAGGCAGCTCTTTATATGGTCATGTAGAATGACCTAACTTCCTGGTTTCAAAAGAGGTGAATGCAGCTCAGCTTTTTAGATATGTTGCTCAAACTGTATGCAGAAGATTACACTGAGAGAGGTACTCAACTCACGGATTTTTATCATAGCATCTTTATGCCAGTAGGGAAGCAATGAGTGTGTTTTCTGAGAATTTCAGGCAGATTTTGAGCTCATTGCCTGACTGGAAGTCACACAGCCTGTGTTAATAACCTTTGCAGTGGTAAATGATACAGGCAATACTAAGATAAGACAAGAGCAAACAACTCAATCTCTCTTTCACCTCTTCATTCCACAGGCTTGAATTCTTCTCCCAGTATCAATGGGACAAAACGAGCCATTGCTGAAGGCTATGGCAATCGTGTGGCTGGCTCGGTTGTACAGCAGCAGCCATCACAAGATTCTACGTTTGCTGCTTTGTCCCAAGTGGTCAACTCTGCAGCAGCAGTGAATAATCACAAAACTCAACTTCAGGGTTGCAACTCAGACCCCTAAGCTGGAAGACCACAATCCCTCTAAATCCAGCAGAAGGAACCAAGCTCCTCCAGGGGAATATTTACAGCATCAAACTATGCATCAAATAGCATCCTGCTATTCTCCCCTAGCAGTGGAAGAGGTGGGATACAGCTACAGGAACACAGGCAGCCAGTGCCCTTTGCAGGTACCGGGCATCACCTGTGGTTGCAGAGGTAGGACACAAATCCCCTGTTCATATCTCTCAGGCATTCTGGGCCATTTAAAGGGCCACAGGTCTTTTTCATTGACACTGTATTCAGGCAACTAAATCCTACTTCTGGGGTCTAAAGAAGGATGTCCAAAATCAGGCTGTGCCTGGGACTGCCCAGTGCTCCCAGATGCAAAAAATAACAAAGTGCTGAGGGAGGAAGCATTTGTTCTCATTCTTAAGTAACAATTCCTTGCTAATGTGTCAAGTAGTTTTCTTGAGTGATAACAGGTTCCACTTTCAGCCCTATTTGGAAAAGAGAGAGGGCACAAGAATGTACAAAAATGTAGAAAAAATATTATATGATGCATTATCTATAACCATAAACATGGTGCATCATCTATCCAAGCCCAATCTCATCTGACCAACTTTCAACAGAGCCTGTGGAACACTCCAGCTCCTGTTTTCAAGCTATATAGACAATAACAGCCTAACTTTCCAAGCCTAAGTTATTGGCAGTCACAGGTACAGAGTAATTAAACAAATACATGAAGAGATAATTTTTTTAAATTCATTTGTCAAAGATTAAATGGGAGCATTCTTGAAGAATGAAACAGGCACTACCTTTTTTTTTCAGAATACGAACATGTGTTGTCCTTTCAACATGCTTGCTAAGATGCAAATATAAATTACTGCTACTTAATATTTATACTTTTATGGCACTATACTTGCTGCACTAGAGGGTCCAGCAAGAGGAGGAATCCTGCTCTTGGTATTCGACATCACTGAAAGGTATTAGTTGTACAAGCACAGTGAGTTTCCACGGGCTTTGAAATCCATTTTGACTTGAGCAGGTATGTTAACGGCTCATACCTCCTGAGCTTGAGTTCTCATCACAAGTACAAGCCCAATCCCTGTACAGTCTGGGAAACCCCTTCTGTAACCCTTGACAGACCTGCAATAGTATCCATGGTCTATTATAATTATCCCATGAAAACACAAATAAATTTTATCTACATAAACAAAGTTTGCAAAATGAGGTGATAAACAATCATTCATGGAATGCAAGCTGACAAGCAATACCTTTTCCCTTCTCTTAAACCAAGAATGTAAGAATATACAGTGTTCCATTCCTTGAACCTGTTGTTTCCATTTTAATATTACAGGAAATAAACAAAATTGAAGTATCTTCTCCATCCTTTGGAGTATTTTAAAATTTAAACTGTCAGGTAGCTAGGACATGCTACAGTGGTGTAACAAATTCAACATCCTGGTGCAAAAAATCTCACATCAGCCAAGTAAAAAAAGAGTTCAACCACATTGTAAGTTTCTACGTAATTCCTGTCAATTAATAATTAGCAGATGTTCTGAAATATGATGTACATAGCCTACCTACTAGAACAGAAGACATATTCGTTGTCCATATAACTGAGCAATTAATCACAGAATCATTAAGGTTGGAAAAGACCTTTAAGATTATCAAGTCCAACCACCAACCCAACACCACCATGCCCACTAAACCATATCCTCAACTACCACATCTACATGTTTTTTGAATACTTCCAGTGACGGTGACTCCCTGGGCAGCCTGTGCCAATGTTTGACCACTCTCTCAGTGAAGACATTTTTCCTGATATCCAGTCTAAGCCTCCCCTGGCACAACTTGAGGCCATTTCCTCTTATCCTATCACTAGTTACTTGGGAGAAGAGACCAACACCCACCTCACTACAACCCCTTCCAGTAGTTATAGAGAGCAATAAGGTCTCCCCTCAGCCTCCTCTTCTCCAGACTAAACAACCCCAGTTCCCTAAGCCTCTCTTCATAAGACTTGTTCTCCAGACCCCTCACCAGCTTTGTTGCCCTTCTTTGGACATGCTCGAGCACCTCAACATGACATAGCAAGTCCTTACCTGTTTCTTGCTGGATTATGGGGAGTTCATTCTGCTCTCCGTCCCTGTCTTCCAGTTCAGGGGGCTGAATACCCTGTAGATACCTGGTCTGGCTATTAAAGACTGAGGCAAAGAAGGCATTAAGTACCTCAGCCTTTTCCTCATCCTTGGTGACAATGTTCCCCCCCCCATCTAATAAGGGATAGAGATTCTCCTTGCCTCTCTTTTTGTTGTTAATATACTTGTAAAAGCATTTTTTGTTATCCTTTATTACTGTGGCCAGATTGAGTTCTAGCTGGACTTTTGCCTTTCTAATTTTGTCTCTGCTCGACCTAACAAAATCCTTGTACTCCTCTTGAGTTACCTTCCTCTTCTTCCAAAGGTCATAATCTCTCCTTTTTTCTCTGAGTCCCAGCAAAATCTCCCTGTTCAGCCAGGCTGGTCATCTTCCCCGCCAGCTCATCTTATGGCACATGGGGACCACCTGCTCCTGCGTCTTTAAGATTTCCTTCTTGAAAACTGTCCACCTTCCTGGACACTTTTGCCCTTCAGGACGGTCTCACAAGGGACTCTCAGTGCCCTTCAGGACGGTCTCACAAGGGACTCTCTCAGCCAGCCACCTGAACAGGCTGAAGTCTGCCCTCCGGAAGTCCACGGTAGTGGTTTTGCCGACCCCTCTCCTTACTTCACCAAGAGAATTCTATCATGTCATGGTCACTAAGTCCAAGATGGCCTCCGACCACCACATCTCTCACCAGTCCTTCTCTGTTTGTAAACAGCAGGTCAAACAAGGCACCTCCCCTGGTAGGCTCAACTTACCATCTGTGTCAGGAAGTTATCTTCCACACACTCCAGGAACCTCCTAGACTGTTTCCTCTCTGCCGTGTTATACTTCCAGCAGATGTCTGGTAAACTGCAGTCCCCTACAAGAACAAGGGCCAGTGACTTCTGCCAGTCACTTGTAGAATGCTTCATCTGCCTCTTCATCCTGGTTAGGTGGTCTATAACAGACACCCAGCAGGATATCTGCCTTGTTGGCCTTTCCCCTCATCCTTACCCATAAGCACTCAATGTAGTCATCACAGTCATTGACTTCTATACAATCAAAACACTCCCTAACATACAGAGCCACCTCACCACCTCTCCTTCCATGCCTATCCCTTATGAAGAACTTATAGCCACCCATTGCAGCACTCCAGTCACGAGAGTCATCCCACCATGTTTCTGTGATGACGACTAAATCATAGCTGTCCCGCTGCACAATGGCTTCCAATGTCTTTCTGAATTCTACCTTACTTGTAGATCTGCCTTTTCTATCATTGCAAACATTTTCTAAATCATATCTGACTTCATGTTATGAGAGGGAACTTTCAGCTGGCCACTAATGCTTTAGATTCTCTGTGTTGGTGAATAAAATGAAATGTTTTCTTTTCTGTAAGTGTATTTTAAAAAGCAGGAAGTCACATTTTATGGATCTATAACTTTATTTTTCACCAGCTTGTTATTTTTTCCTTATCTGTGTTTATTCTCTTCTTTATCAAAAAAGATCTCATGAACTCCATATAACCACTCTTTGACAACACCTTCTGATGTGATGACAAGGCAATGTACTTGCTCTTGGAACCATAACGATCTACTGTATCATCAGAAAAGCCAGTCACATAAAACAGAGACAGGATTCCCATCTCTATGTGAAATGTAGTTGTTTCTTAAAGATCAATCCAAGCAATTTTCCACCAAAATGCAGTAGCTTCAGCTTTTATAAACCTATCCACATTTCAGTGAGGTCTTTAATCCTATGTTCACATATATCATCTTGTATCAATTGGATGCTGGATCTGAACATGAACTTTTCTCATCACTAAAATGAAACCTGAAATCCATTGTCAGGTATGAACATTGCAAGCACCTCAAGCTTGAAATTAAAATGAAGTCGTAAAATGAACATTGTCGTTAAAGAAAAATAATTTCTTCTTGTTTTCAGGTCAGTTTGCAGGTAAGTTAAAGAAAAGAACTCAACCTAAGAAACTAATGAAGAAAAATACAGTCACAGTAAATTATTTGGATTGAGAACTGCTCATTTGAAAACTGCTGTGTTATCGACTTGGTGTGTTTTACCACATCTGCAGCCACTTGAAAAAAATACAGGTATGTACACTGTAAAGAAAACTGGATCTTACAAAATACCTCCTTATTTGCTACCTCACATCTCATGCACTTTCTAATGAAAACTACCCAGTCTTTTTTAAGTAAAGCAGAATGTTTCTTTATTAACAGTGATTCAGAGCCACAAACTGTTTGTTGACCCCCAAAAAATGGGGTTCTCTAGGCAGAGAGATACTGTAGTAAAGAAGACCATGTTTAATGGTTCAGTGTGTTTGTCACCTGGACAAAATCCACCCATGGATTTGAAAAGCCCTTAATTACAGTTCAGCCTAAAGACTAATAGGGCTCTGCAGGCCAATAAAAGTTGGCAGGTGGGCAGTCTGCCAAAAAAAACCCTCAATGCAGAACAGAAAAACACTTAATGTTAAAAATATATATTGGCAAGTCTAATTATTCCACATCCCTGATGCCATGAACCTGGGAAGTTAGACATTGGTTCCTGCCCTGCAAGAAAGCTAACTGAATTTCTACACTCTCATACTCATTCCTAAATCCTGGTTTCAACTGTGAACTCACGTTACATGTGTGCCAGCTTACTCTTAGGCTCTTTTTGGAAACACACTAACTCCACTCAGGGCAAAACCTGGATTTGAGGGATACCTTCATGTGGGAAATTCGCTCCCGAGGCAGAATGGAGAAGTCTGTGCTAGGATCAGCTCTCTCTGACCTACATGGCCCTTTAGCATTACCCAACCAGGTCTTAAATCATCAAATGACCAGGTCCCATGCCCAAGGTTCAGAACTCAAGTGTTTGGCTTTATGCTTTAGATACTCCTCTCTCCTCTCATTGATTAGTGCACTTTAGACTGAACAAGGCACAAACCAAACACAAAATAATTATGTTTTAGTGCCACAGAAGCCCCACATAGTACCCAGAGGAAATCCAGGTCAAGAGTTTCCCAACATGAATGTGGCCAGTCTGCTCCTGAGGAAACTAGCCTTGGCAGTCAGAAGTTGTTTGGATGCTGTCTTTAGCTGTGAAGGCATAGTGTGGTGTTTATGTCTACAAACTAATTTCACTTTTCTCTGTAATAATCACACAGCTAAAACTTGGCATCCTGTATTAGCTTTTGATTTTCCAAAGCCAAATACTTGACTTTTTTATATATTGATTGCTATAGTTTTAAACATGAACACACACACATGCACATACAAGCCTATAAAAAGTTAGACATCTGAATTTTTTTACACTGAAGTCCAACATACTTTCACTCTTTCAAGCATACTTAGAAAAATACTCTTTTGAATGTTTCAAATGATCAGACTTTTGTTTCCTCCTTTGATTTCTTTCCCTTCCTTTCCACATCTCCAAGCCCTTCTTCTCTTTAGAACAAATATAATAATAAGACAACAGAGGTTCTTTTACTTTCATATTTTCTCTTGTACTTTTGGGTTTATACCCTGTTACTTTTCTGCTCAATGTTGGCATAGTGATGTGGCACAAAAGGAGTTCCACTTTCCTTTTGAAAGTTCTGATAAGTGGCAAATGGAAAAATCAGTAAAGAAAAAACCCCACATATTGATTTTAGAATAATCTGTGGAAAGGGGCTTTAAAGCTTTTCATAATGGAATTAAAGTAACTGAAATATTTTGATGTTTTGGTAGAAAACTGGAACTAACTGTTTTCAGACAAGAAGAACAACTGCTTTTTTTTTTTGCTCTGTGGGGCTGCTGCCTAAGAGATGGATACGTCAAGTTGTCATTCACAAGACCTTGCAATATTGGCAGCTGTAGAGGTCAGGTTCCGTCTATGGGACATCTCCAACCTGCCCACCAGTTGTGGCAGCCCTCATTTGGTGTCATGCGGTCATGCACAGGAGAATTGATTGCAGCACTACCGTGCACGTCTTTAACCAGGCTGTGTAGCTCACCATTTGTTTGTACAGGAGGAAGCATTAGGCGGTATGGGCATCACTTACTTCCTGCACAGCTGCTCCTCGTCTCTTCAAGGGAATGCAGCCAAAAAGGAACAACCGTGAATATGGACTGTGCCAACAGGATGCAAGTGGCCCACTCCCCAGGACACAATTTGTTTTTTGTAGGGAACTGATGTATAGTCACTGTTACGATAAAGGAATATGGCTTGCCACTGGCCGTGGGCACAGACAAGCTGACTGACTGACCCCCTGGGCTCTGGGTGTTGCCACTAGCCATGCAGAATTGAATACTGCAGTCTCCCAAAAGACTTCCACCTCCTTGTTAACCCTGAGTGATGGGGGGTTTTCTGTTGGTGGACATGCCCAAGGGTATCAACATAAAAATTCTTACTGTCTGCTTGGATCAGAATCTCTAAAGGCGTCACGAAGGTGAAGCCTTTGCTACTTTGCAGTAAATAAGTACAAGTCCTGTTACTGACTTTCCCAAAGCATTTCTCTCTTGAACAAGTCAAGTTAATACTTTAGGGAGATGATTTTATATAGCTGGTTAAAAAAAACCCCAAAAGTAATGTAATCTTTTATCTTCTTTTTGTGACCACAGATGTCTATTTCCTGTAATACATTTTACATTTTGTCAGGAATACAGTCTTTTAAAAACGGAATTGGAAGCTTGATTTGGGGCACAAGGAAAACATCTGGAAAATTCTAACTATTCTGTCTGAAGTGTGGTGGGTTCATCACCTTCTCTAACTATACCATTTGATCCTGTGAAGGGTATCATGTAGCTTGTCCCCCCTCACACAATTTCCCCAAGCAAGTATTTTCTCTCATGTGTCTGAGTGCAGAATGTTATTGGAGATACTCCCCCCTTGCTACCAGGAAGAGGCTGAATGGGCACACAAAAAGTAGCTTGAGTTGCATTCCTCTTTCACCATATCACTTGCTTGGTCAGACTATACTGCAAGAGACAGACAGTGTGGGTAATAAAACCCTGTGAGTAGCAATGGGAAGTAAAGGGGGGTGGTGTGGAGGGGAGAAAATGCAGGCTGGTTTTTTTATCTGTTCATTTAGCCAGGGGCATCAGATAAACATCATCATTGACACAGAGATTTGTTGAATTGGAACATCACACAGACTTGGTTTTTGGTACCCGTACAGGAAGAAGTAAGATTTTCTGACTCAGTAACTTTGAATGGGTTGCTATTTCTCTGATTATTAACTGGCATTTGAGAGCTGCTAAATCAGTAAATTGTTAGCATATCTGGGTCTGAACTCAGCAAGCTTGACTTGCTCATCCAGTTACTGTTGTACGTGCTTTGACATCAACTTTTGCAAGGAAGAGGATCTGAACCAGGAACTCCTATAAACAATTTTTCTTTGAAATCAGATTAGCAAGTCAGAAATCCCAAGCGATAAGAGAAGTCTCTCCTTCACAGACTTCCTTTAGCAGTCCTGAACCTACGGCATCAGGAGGACATAGGCCTTCATATCCACCCAAACAAGTAGAAAAGTTGATTCACTGTCATTCACGTCAGCAACATAGAGATGTATTAAAATGAGACATACCTTCCTGATTTAAAAAAAAAAGAAAAGAAAAAAGTATAATATGCTTGGAGGAAATGTCCACCCCGAATCTGGATTAAAAAAAAGAAGTGAAAATATATGGGGGAGGGAATTGACCTGTCATGTTTTTGCTTGCTGTTTTTGATATTAATGTCCTTTGTAGGCAAAAAGTGAGCCTTCCAAGCAAGCAGATGGAGAGCTGCTTCTTTTGTCTGGGGACAGGGGATAGAGGGAGAGAGCGGTTTCCTTTTTGGAGTGGACTGGTTGCTAGAAAGATCTTTTTAGAAAAATTTATCCTGTCATAATGTTCGTTACCAGTTCTTCTAGTAGCAGCTCTTGATAGGAATCTAGCAACTTAGAGATGCTCAGCAAGAGACTCAGAAAGGCCCGTGCTTTGACATGTGGTATGCTGACTACATAGCTGCATGTTGGCTCCACACCTGCAAAATATACGCTTTGAACAGCCAGATACACTGAAGCCTGTGGTTCCTCGTCAAGCAGGCATGCAAGACATATTGAGGAAGCAGTCTCTGGTGAACATGTGGGAGGGCAGTTTCTCTTCTAAAAATAACAGAACAGTTTCCCTTTCTTTTCCTCTGTTGAACTATGATGATACTGGCCCATCTCAGACTCAACATCCTTTTTTTTTGGGCTGGATCTCCAGGATGAAAAGTTAGAGTGAAAGCACTAGGATATTATAAGCAATTTAGGAACCTGCAAGTATCCAAAGTGCTCCCAACCAAAGAGAGCACTGTCCAACCTAAGAATTTTCATGCTTATGTCTGGTTTTTTCTGTCTTTCCTCCAAAAATTTACCTTACAAATATCTTCATACCACTGCCATTACAAAAACATTACTGCTACATTTTTAAACTTTCCTATATAGCAAAAAATGTGATAATAGTAATTCCAAAATGTAGGATGTTACTCCTATAGACATCACATCAAAAGCTCTAGCATCTATAAAATAGGATGGGTTATTTTCGTAATAAAAAGCAGTTTACAGAAGGGATTTCGCACGCTTTCTGGTTTACACTGGTCTAACAAAACCTCTCACACCTAGTCCATAACCTCTCACACCTAGTCCATAGCATCCTACCCAAAATGGAATCAGGAATTACACAGACTATGTAAAAACTCAGACTGTGAAATGCGCTTAACTGAGTCTCTTAAACCCAACACTTAGTTTCTTGGTCCTCTGCTGCTAACAATGGAGAGAGTCACCCCCAGGAAGTCATTCAGCCCACCAAAAATCTGACTGGAACATGTAGTATAGCTACACCTGCAGTTACCATTCTGTAGTAAACACCATTAAAGTGGCATTCAAATGTAGCTTCTGACACCTGACCCAGGAAGATCAGTGTTGCTCCTTTGACTTGATCAATTTTAAC